TGTTTCTTGGTGAGTCTAGCTAAGGGTCCATCAATCTTGTTTATCTTTTCGAAAAACCAGCTCTTTGTTTCATTGATCCTTTGAATTGTTTTTTTGGTCTCTATGTCATTTATTTCTGCTCTGATCTTTACTATTTCCTTTCTTCTACTTGCTCTGGGGTTTGCTTTATATTTGTTTTCTAGTTCTTTAAGTTGTGAGGTTAGATAATCTATTAGAGATTTTTCTTGTTTCTTGAGGTAAGCCTGTAGTGCTATGAACTTCCCTCTAAGAACTGTTTTTGCTGCATCTCATAGATTTTGTGTTGTTGTGTGTTCATTTTCATTGTTTTTCAGGAAGTTTTTAATTTCTTCCTTGATCTCCTCGGTAACCCATTCATTGTTCAGTAACATGCTATTTAGCCTCTATTTGTTCAAATGTCTTTCATGTTCTTGTTGCAATTGATTTCTAGTTTCATGCCAATGTGATCTGAGAAGATGCTTGATATGATTTCAATCTTCTTGAACTTGTAGAGACTTAGTTTGTGCCCTAACATGTGCTCTATCTTTGAGAATGTCCCATGTGCACTTGAGAAGAATGTGAATTCTGCAGTTTTTGGGTGTAATTCTCTGTAGATATCTATGAAATCCATTTGATCTAGTGCTTCATTTAGAGTCTGTGTTACCTTGTTAATTTTTTGTCTAGATGATCTATCCAGTGATGTCAGCGGGGTGTTGAAGTCCCTTGCTATGATTGTGTTGCTGTTGATTTCTCCTTTGAAGTCCTCCAGAAGATTTTTAATACATGTTGGTGCTCTTATATAGGGTGCATATATGTTTACCAAAGTTATATCTTCCTGTTGGATAGATCTTTTCAATATTATGTAGTGACCTTCTTTGTCTCTAGTTATGGTCTTCATTTTGAAATCTAATTTATCAGATATGAGTATTGCTACCCCAGCTTTTTTTTTCCTTTTTGTTTGCTTGGAAGATTTTTTTCCCATCTCTTTACCTTCAACCTATGTGAGTCTTTTATTGTGAGGCGGGTCTCTTGTAAACAACATATATGTGAGTCATGCTTTCTTATCCAGTCAGCTACTTCTGTGTCTTTTTATCAGAGCAGTGAAACCATTCACATTTAAGGTGATAATTGATATGTACTTATTTATTGCCATTTTTGTTTAGTGTGGTTCTATTTTTCTACCTATTTCTTCTATTAATTACTGCTGACCTTTTAGCATATCTTGCAGTGCTGTTTTGGTGTTAATATATTCCCTTAGCCTTTTTTTTTTTTTTTTTTTTGCCTGGAAAGCTCTTTATTTGACCTTCTATTTTGAATAATAGCCTTGCTGGATAGAGTAGTCTTTGATTCAGATCCTTGTTTTTCATGACCTTAATTACTTCATACCGTTCCCTTCTGGCCAGTAGTGTTTCTGTTGAGAAGTCAGCTGAGAGCCTTATGGGGTTTCCTTTGTAGGTAACCTGTTGCTTCTCTCTTGCTGCCTTTAGGATTCTCTCTTTGTGTTTAATTTTTGGCATTTTGATTACTATGTGTCTTGGTGTGGGCCTGTTTGGGTTCTTCCTATTTGGGGCTCTCTGTGCTTCTTGAACTTGAATGCCTTTTTCCTTCCCCAAGTTAGGGAAGTGTTCTGTCACTATTTTTTCAAATATATTCTCTAACCCTTGCCCATTTTTTTCCTCTTCTGGGACTCCTATGATGTGAATGTTATTATGTTTCCAGTTGTTCACAGTTCTCTTAAGCTATCTTCCTGTTTTTTTATTTTTTTTTTTTTTTTTTTTTTTTTTTAGTTTTTTTGATTGGTTGATTGTTTTTTTACCTTGTCTTCTAGTTCACTGATCTGGTCTTCAGCTTCCTCTACTGTGCTGGTTAGTCCTTCCAATGTGTTTTTTATTTCTGCTATGTCATTCATTCTTCATTTCCACTTCTTTGGTTTTCAATGTTTCCATATCTTTACTCATGGTGCTTATGTCCTTACTCTGGCTGTTGTGCTTCCTCAAGATCATGGCTCTGAACTCAACCTCTGATAATTTGCTTAACTGTATGTATTTCATTTATCTCATCTTCGATAGAGTTCTCTTGTTCTTTCATTTGGGATTTCTTTGTTTCACCATTTTGGCTATCTCAATGGATTTTGGAGTATGCCAAATTTTCTGTGTGGCTGTTGGTGTTCTGTTGTTTGTGGCTCCCTCTACTGGGTTTGGATGAGCCTGGGTGGGCCCACGTTAAACACCACTGTCAAGTCTTATTTTCCTGGGTAGATTTGCAAGCCCAGGATAGATTCAGTTATCCTCTAGCTTTTTTCCTGGAGGCTAGTAGTCTCAGTTGCTCAGTGCCTTGGAATGTGTCCCTGGTGTTCTGCATAAAAGGATTTCCAGAGGATGGGATAGAGGGTGGTTGTTAATGAGCCTCAATTTACATTTCTTTGCCTCTCCTGGAAAAGGCTGAATCTTGGGTGGGGGGGTTGGGAGTGGCTGCTGCTTTCCCCCACAGTGCTGGGATGGAGCACACTGGCCTCTGTCCTTTGTGGCCGCAACTCAGTAAAAACTCTGAGTGTCCTCCAAATCCTGGGTGTCCCCACAGAGTTCCAGCCCAGTCTGCCTTCCCTGTGCTGGAGCCCCAGTTGAGTGGCTGTGGCTATTTTAGTGCTCTGTCTTGGCTCTCAGCGCTGTGGAGTGGGCTTCATTTTTATTCCCCAAGGGTGCTGCTCAGAGCTAAGACTGCTGCTTTCTGTGGGCTCCCAGCCTGCCACCCTCTTGAGCCTCTGCAGATCCTACCTGTGTCCCTGGTTATATGGTCCTATCCCGCTGCTTTTCTGTTGCTTTTTTCCGAAGATTTGTCTTTATTTTGTTGTAATTCTTGTTTGGTCCTGGGAGATCGTCTGTGTAGCTTCCATTCACTCCGCGTCCATTTTCACATCTATAGGTTTCAAGTGTACAATTTTATGGTACATCATCTGTATATTGCATAATGTGCCCACCACCTAAAGTCAAATAATTTTCCATCACCATATGTTTGACCCCCTTTAACTTTTACTACTCCCTCAGTCTCCTTCCCTCTGATAACTGCCATACTATTGTCTGCATCTGTGTATTTTTTTTAATATATATGTTTTTATTGATTTTTTTAGAAAAAAAAGAAGAGAGAGAGAGAGAGAGAAACATTGATGTGAGAGAGAAACATCTATTGGCTGCTTCCTGCATTGAGCCTGAAACTGGGGATTGAGGCATGTGCCCTGACCAGGAATTGAACTGGGACCTCTCAGTCCATGGGACCACACTCAATCCACTGAACCACACCAGCCGGCAATGAGTTTGTGTTTGTTTTTCATGTTTTTTAATTTGTTGCTTTCAGTTTTATATTCGACATATGAGTGAAATCACATGGTTCTTAACTTTTCCTGACTTATTTCACTTAGCATCATAGTCTCAAGATCCATCCATATTGTTGCAAAGGACAGTATTTCATCTTTTCTTATGGCTGAGTAGTAATCCATTGTATATAAGTACCACATCTTCTTTATCCATTCATCTACTGAAGGACACTTGGTTGTTTCCATATCTTGGCCACAGTGAATAATGCTCCAATGAACTTAGGGGTGCATATATCTTTGTGAATAAGTGTTTTCAAAATTTTCAGGTGGATACCCAGAAGAGGGGTTGCTGGGTCATATGGTAACTGTATTCTTAATTTTTTTGAGGAGCCTCCATACTGTTTTCCATAGTGGCTGTACCGGTTTACATTCTCATCGCTAGTGAATGAGGGCTCCTTTTACTCCACAACCTCTCCAACATTTTTTATTTCTTGTTTTGTTGATAATAGTCATTCTAATATTTGAAATTTTTATTATTGAAGTTTAACTGTGCAAAATTTTACTGTATAAAAATTTATTATTAGTTTGTCTAACCTAGTCTTGTGTAATAGCATTGATAGGCAGATATGGTGGCCTTACTCTTAGTTATAGGAGCCATTTCTACAGTGTTAAGGGAGATTATATTAAGAGTAAGTACTTTTCTAGTATTCCGAGTCTTGTTTTATTTTAATGCCCTGAAGCAAATATTTAATGAAGCTCTCTCTTTTCCTTTGTGAGTAGCAAGACAAGTAGAGACTACTTGAAGAATATTTATGTACTTCAGACAGAAAAAATAATTACCTCTCTCCTGACATTGCTAAAATTTTATTTTTCACTGCCCCAGTGTTTTCCAGAAATATGTGAACATTATATCTGAAGAAAGTTAAAAGGATTTAGCTGGCATACACATTGTAGATAAGTATGATACAAATGATTACAGGCATGGGTATTGGCTTTAAATAGACCTGGGTTTAATCCTAACTTTTCCACTTACCAGCTGGTTATTTAACTTTAATAATCTCCCTTTCCTTATCTATAAAATGAGTATAAACATAACTCCCTGAGGGAAAAGAACTAATTTAGGGAGAAGAGATTAGGTTCAAAGTGTTTTTCCTATTTGTGGTTTTATGATAGAATGTAAAATTCTATAAAAATCATAAAATGTTAAAACTGAACAGGAACCGAGAGTTCATTTGATTCAATGCCCTAATTTTATAAATGAGGAAAATAAGATCTGAAAAAGCCAAGAGACATCTCCAGAATACCAGTGCAGTTGGCAGTGAAAGGCCAGTCCTTTCTTCCCACTCCATGGAAAACTAATCTTAAAGCATGAATTGTAATGATGTTTTTATCATTTTTATTTAATTTTATGGAAAATATTTTAAGAGTAAGTCTTTCTTAGAGGTACCATGGAGAAATACTTACTCTGAAAGACTTTCTTTTCTAATTCCAAGATTTTGTGTCAGAGTCAATATCATGCCAATTTAAAAAATTTTATCCAGATGTAAGCAATGTCATAATTTTTACTCCATGACATAGTACAGTACACATTTACTTCATTTGACAGGCATTGTTGTAATTACATCTTCTATTCAACTTCATTTTTTCAGAATTTAAAAATATAATTTTAGTAAATGTAGATTCTGTCTTCTAGATGTCCCCTGAAGAAAAAGTTTGTAAGTACTGTGGAGTCAGCTATCTAATTCTTCATGAGTTTAAAGCTATGGAAGAAAAAGTGAAAGCAATGGAAAAAGAGATGAAATTTTATCAAGGAAGTGTAGAACGTGAAAAGAGACTTCAAGAAAAGCTACATTCTCTTAGCCAAGAGTTTGAACAGTACAAAATTGACAATGACTCCAAAACAGAAAGGTTGGAATATATTCTTCTTTTCTGTTATTTATTTAGTGTGAAAGAAAAGTAAAGAAAATAGACTTTCATTGTTCTTCTAATATTTCTCTGTATCAGTTATAATTTATACTTGAATACATTTGAGTTTGTTTATTATTAATAATTACTAAATATAATTATTAATTATAGTTTGAGCATTCTTTGAGACATATATTTATTTTCTGAATGATTAAAAACCAATTAATTCAGTAACTATAAGTTGCAATAGGTTAAATTTTATTTTTGCCTAGGTATATCTTAATTTTGTCAGAATGATTTGTCTGTCAAAATCAGGTGAATTTTGGTAGTTTTTGACACTTAACAATTGTTTTAAGTGGCCTAGAATATTTAGATTTATAGGATAAGGCTTTCATGTTTTGAAAATATTGCCAAAACATTAAAATTGGCATATTGATTGTAAGTCACTGAAATTGGAAAAACATTAAATAATGAGTTCCTAATGCTATCAGATATAATCAACAATTTAGGCTACCTAAAGACACTTCAATGAGCTTATACAGACACTTCTACAGAAGGGTTTTTTTGCTGGAGTTCTATGGCTTTACCTTTTTGGTATGAATGAATATTTCTCCATTTAAAATATTAACAATTGGTGTTAGTAAGCCTTGAATTAATGAATATTATCATGCCTTTACAAAAGTAGGGACTTTCTTAAATCTCTTAGGATTAAATACTTCCATCAAATTTTATTATAAATTTTGGTAATTACATTACATGTCAATTGAGCCCAATATTTCCTAGTTCTTTACTAAGACAATTTTCTTATAGTTTTTAAAATTTCAAATCTGAATAATAACGTATTTCATACTATTTGGATGGAAAAATAAATTTGAAGTATTCCGTTTAAAATTTAAAATTTGGAGGGTTTTTTTTTGCCTGTCAGAGATTCTTTTTTTTTATTTTTTATCCTCACCCGAGGACATTTTTCCATTTTTTGTTCAGATAGAGCGGGAGGGAGAGAGAGGAAGAGAGAGAGAGAGAAACATCGATGTGAAGGGACACATCGAGTGCTGCCACCCGCACGACCAACCAGGGCCGGGGACCAACTGCAACCGAGGTATGTGCCCTTAGCGGGAACCGAACCCGGGTCTCTCTGTACCGCAGGCCGACGCTCCAACCGCTGAGCCAAACCGGCCAGGGCCAGAGATTCTTTTGTTTGGTGTTATTTACACTTTACTTTCCTTAATAAAATATTGTATTATTTAAGTACATAAACACATGAAATAAAAGAAGCATATAGAAGAAAAAGCAGAAAGTTCCTTTTTTATCTTATTTTTAAAAAATCCTTACCCAAGGATATTTTTCCATTTATCTTCAGATAGAGCAGGAAGGAGAGAGAGAAACATCATGTGAGAGAGACACATCACTTGGTTGCCATCCGCACGACCCCAACCTGGACTGGGGAGGAACTGCAACGGAGGTACATGCCCTTGATTGAAATGGAACCATGGACTCTGGTCTGCAGGCCGATGCTCTAACCACTGTGCCAAACCGGCCAGGGCAAGAAAGTCCCTTTTTATCCTGCTGATTGCTTTCTTTTTTCTGGAGATAAAACTACTTTTATTGGTTTGGTGTATATTCTTCATTGTGCCTTTACCTTTATCATAGCTATATTTCTTTAATATATGTAATATATATAAGCCATATAGTTTTTAAAATTTTTATTTTATAGACTTGTGTTTAACATAACCAATATATTAAATTTATTGTTTTGTGATTTATACCTCTTAACTATATATTTTGGAAATTGTTCCATGTTAATGAATGCAGATCTACCTTGTTCATGACTGCTACATTTTCCTTATTAAGAATATACCAAAATTACTTAACCATTTCTCTTTTCAACATTTAGATTATTTTTCAATATTTATTATTACATGTAGTATTTAAATTTATATTGATATGTGCATGTCTTCCATAGGATAAATTCCTAGAAGTGAAATTGCTAAAGAGAGTAAATGCCATTTAAAAATTTTCATGTATATTATATGAAATTGGCCTTTGAGAAGATAGTGTTTGTTAACTTATTTTGGCCAAGAGTTTATAAAGTGGTAATTTTCCTATATCTTGTTAATATTGGAGTCTTCTTAATTTTTTTCAAATTTTCACTTTTTTCCTGAGTGAAAAAATATTCATTATTATTTAATTTGTGTGTATTGCTAATGAGATTAAACATTTTGCATGTCTATTACACATTTATATTTATTCCTCTATTAATTACCTGTTCATATATGTTATCCACATTTCTATTTGGTTATTTTTGTTTACTTATATGAGTTTTGAATATAGTATGAACATTATATTTTGTTTATAAAAGTTGCTAATATTTTCTCATGGTTGCTTATTTTTTCTGCATTGATTTTTAATATCTTTTGCCAAATTCTGGTCAGGGTTCTGAATCAAGTTTTTTTTTTTGGTTGCAAACAACAGAAACTTACTCTGACTAACACATAGTGTTAGATTCAGGCAAATTGAAAAAGAAACCCTACAGTACATTTGAGTTTCTTCCATGTCTTTTCATAGCTTGATAACTCATTTTACTGAGTAATAGTTCATTGTCTGGATGTACCACAGTTTATCCATTCATCTACTGAAGGACATCTTGGTTGTTTCCAAGTTTTGGCAATTAATGAAAAAAGCTGCTATAGTTATCCATGTGTGACTCTTTTTGTAGATAATGTATTTTCAACTCCTTTCAGTAAATACCAAAGAATATAATTACTGGACCATATAGTATGTATAGTTTTTTAAGAAACCATCACTCTTCTGAAGTGGCTTTGTCACTTTACATTTCCAGTACCAATGAGAGTTCCAGTTATTACTAGCATTTGGTGGTGTTGACAGTGTTTTGGATTTTGACCATTTTAATAAGTGTGTAGTAGTATCTCATTGTTTTAATTTACATTTCCCTATTGATTTTTCTCTGTTGATTTCTTGTTTCAGTTTCACTGATTCTGGCCTAATTATAATGATTATTTTTAAATTTTTTAATCCTCAGCTGAGGATATGTTTTTATTGCTTTTTAGAGAGAGAGGAAGGGGGAGAGAACGAGAGAAACATCAATGTTCGAGAGAAACTTAGATAAGTTGCCTCCCATATGCATTCCTACTGGGATTGAACCCACAATCTAGGTATGTGCCCTGACCAGGAATCAAACCTGCAACTTTTAGTGTATAGGATGATGCTCCAACCAACTGAGCAACCTGGCAAGGTTGCTCTAATATTATTATTTCTTTTCCTTTGCTTACTTTGATTTAATTTGCTCTTTATTTTCTAGTTTCCTAAGGTGGAAGCTTAGATTATTGATTTTAGATCTTTTCTCTTTTCTAATAAATGCATTCAATATTATACATTTTCCTTTAAGTACTGCTTTTGCTGTATCTCACAAATTTTAGTAAATTTAACATTTCAGTTCATTTTCATTTAGTTCAAAGTTTTAAAAATTTCTTTTTCGATCTTTTTGTTATTTAAAAGTATGTTCTTTATTTGGGTCCTCCTTTTTTCTTGATGAGTTGGATTAAAGGTTTGTTAATCTTGTTTACCTTTTCAAAGAACCAGCTCTTGGTTTTATTGATATCTGTATTGTTTTCTTTTTTAAGACTCTATTTCATTTATTTCTGCTCTGATCTTTATTTTATTCTACTCACTTTGGGCTTTGTTTGTTGTTCTTTTTCAAGTTTCTTTAAGTATAAAGTTAGATAGTTTATTTGAGATTTTTCTTGTTTCTTGAGATAGACCTATAATGTTATAAATTTCCCTCTTAGGACTGCTTTTGCTGTGTCCCATAGATTTTGGGTTGTATTCTCATTTTCATTTGTTCCATGGTATCTTTTGATTTCTTCTTTGATCTCATTGTTAACCCATTCATTTTCAGTAACATGTTATTTAGCCTCCATGTCTTTGTGTGTTTTTCAGTTTTTTTCTTGTGATTGATTTCTAGTTTCATACCATTATGGTCAGAGAAGATGCTTGATATGATTTCAGTCTTCTTAAATTTATTGAGATTTGTTTTGTGTCTTAACATGTGAGTATACTAGAAAATGGTCCATGTGCACTTGAAAAAAATGTATAGTCCACTGCTTTGGGGTGAAATGCTCTGAAGATATCAATTAAATTAATCTGATCTAGTGTGTCATTTAAGGCCACCATTTCTGTGTTGATTTTCTGTCTGGAAGATCTATCAATTGATGTCAGTGGTGTGTTAAAATCCCCTATTGTGACTGTATTACTGTCAATTCCTCCTTTATATCTATCAATATTTGTTTTATATATTTGGTGCTCATATGATAAATAGTGTTGGGAAAATTGGACAGATATGGGCAAAGAAAAAAAAAAAAAGAAAGAAATTAGACCACCTTTTTATACCATACATATGAATAAACTCGAAATGGATTAAACAATTAAATGTAAGACTCAAAACCGTAAAAATCCTAGAAGAAAACATAGGCAGTAAAATCTTAGGCATTTCTCATAGCATTATTTTTTTCTGATATATCTCCTTGGTCAAGGGAAACAAAAGAAAAAATAAACAGATGGGACTATATCAAACTAACAAGTTTTTGCACAGCAAAGGAAACCACCAACGAAATGAAAAGACAACCTACTGAATGGGAGAACATATTCGCCAATGATATATCTGGTAAGAGGTTAATATCCAAAATTTATAAAACTCAACACCAAAAAAACCCATACAATCTAATTAAAAAATGGTCAAAGGACCTGAATAGACACTTCTCTATATAGGACATACAGATGGCCAATAGACATGAAAACATGCTCAGTGTTACTAATCAACAGAGAAATGCAAATTAAAACCACAATGAGATATCACCTTATACCTGTCAGAATGGCTATCAGTAATAAATTAACAAACAACAAGTGTTGGTGCAAATGTGGAGAAAAGGGAACTCTCTTGTACTATTGGTAAGAATGCAGATTGACTCTCTTGTACTATTGGTAGG